GGAGGACTAAATAGGAATACTATTAATGAATGTGAAAACAAATATTATCAAGAATAATGATCCCACCAAACTTTTTAAACATATTTTAATATGAAGCCTAAGACTCAGTTCAAGACATGAAAGAAAAAGAACCAAAATGTTCAACAATTTAAGATTATCTTAAGGTGGAGTTTTTAAAAATGACTCCCTAGAATAATGCATCTCAAGGAGCCACTGAGAAGTATCAATACTTTGTGAGGGATAGCAAAGGAATCCTCACAGAGTGTGCTGGTGTACATCTGGGATTCCTATCAGGTGCTAGGGGTCATAAGAAGTCATGACGTATGTTTCTATGTAAAACTATGTCATGACTTTTCTAGAAACCCGTTATTTAAGGAACTTACTAACGTCTAAATAAAATGTGAATCTTTACCCATACAGAGGATCTGAATGCACTACAAATAGTTATTAGTAATAACCAATGATAAGTGCTGAGTATTTCTTCCCAAATGCCAAGGGAACCAAGTAGTGAAGTGGAGTGAGTCTTCATTCGAGAAATCTGGGGAGTCCTGATAAAGGAAGTGGGATTCAGGCTGAATTTTGACGAATGACTTTCAATGCAGAACATGTGTGGGTAGGGAGGTAGGCACCAGGTCAGGGTAGTAAAATGGGATATGAATCTAGAAACGTAGGTTGAGGCTCTTTGGCTAAGAGCTTTAAATGCCAAGTTCATACTACCATATTAGGAAACCATCGAAGACATCTGAGAAAAGGACAGAAGGAAATAAAACTGGCATCAAAAGAGTATTTTTTCTTTCTGTTTTGTTTTTTATAATAAATTTGCTAAAGGGAACATGCACTTGTGAGAGCGAAGAGGAGAGAAAATGAAAAATCACCCCCTCCAGAGGATGGCAATGCTTCAATTCTTTCACTTCTATTCTCTTGGGATTTTGAACATGCACATACATGCCTGGCATGATTTCAAGCTACCAGTCAGGGACTTGAACCATACAGTTGGCCATGTAGGATCCAGACACCTTAACCACCGTACCACTAGCCAGGCCTATTTTCCCATTCTAATAACCAGTGTAAGTCCAAATATTTTGTAAATATACTGATTCATCTGCCCAATCACTTGTCCTGCTATTGTGGCCCTTACCCTAGGTGCCACTACCACAGAAGCCTGCTCTAAGTTCCTCTCCCAACATTCCTTCCCCCACACCACAGGGCTTTTGTATTTGCTGTTCCATCTGCCTAAATAGCTTTTCCCTCTTTGCCAAATTAAATCCAAATGCTTTTGCTTCCTTCAAATCACAGCTGCAGGATCTCTTTGAAGAAAATGCTCCCTAACTTCCCCATTTATATGCTATTTTTGGCACCAAGTAGTTCTCCATTACAGTTCTTACTACTGCTATTTAGTATTTAGTTGTAACTCTTAGATAGAAATCTCCTTTACTAGGCTGGAAGCATTATGACAGTAGAGGCTTTCCCCATGTCTACACGTAGAAAGTGCCCAGTTACTATTTGTTGCAAGGAAGAGAAAGAAAAGTCAGGACACCAGACAAAACCTTTGGGGAAAGGAATCTGCTTATCTTTTTTTTTTTTTTTTTAAAGGTTTTTGCCATTGGGCACATGCACTAGCCAGAAAGACAGACAGTGAGACAGTGAGAAATCACTCCCCATGGGGGACAGCTGCACCACAATTTCCTTTCCTCTATTCTCTTGGGACTTGGGACATGCACCCACATGCACTAAGCATGGTTTTTCAAGCTGCCAAGTCTGGGACTCGAACTGCCGTTGACCACCTGGGAGTTCAGCACCTTAACCACCATGCCACCCACTGGCCCTAATCTGTCCCTTTTTTTAAGGACTTAGATAATGTAGTATTTTAACTCTTTCCTTCTTCTGCTGTTTTATGCATTTGCAATTTGTCCAAGCTCATATAAGTTTGTAAGATTCAAACTCAGGATTGTCTAGTTAATAAAAGGAGAGGAGGGATTTCACTTAATGTATGAAGAGGGAAGGAGGCAGAGCAAGCCTTCTCATGTCTTCTTTTCAATATATAGGTCATCAAGTCTTGCTCACTTAAAAAACACAAATCTGCAAGCAGAAGCAGCAGACTGTTTTCTCTAACCTTTCTGGGAAAGGTCTTGCTTATATGGTGCTTTTTCACTCCACTTCCTCTTATATAGGATTTGTGACACATAATTGAACTCAAAAAACAACCTGAATCGAGCAGCTGTGCATGAAGGCACCTAAGCCTGTGAATAAACACATTATAGTCCAATGCCAAGTTCCTCCATCCTTCCAATGGCTAGTCCTGATTGGTGGCACGAACGCACCCTCCTAGAGAAAGACATTAACTTGTGGTTCGGCACGATGCCATCATTTAATTTATGAGCTTTGGCACATCATTTCCTTCACTGAGCCCTCAGTTTTCTATTTCTGAAGTAGGAATGGTATAACCTACTGGTCTCAAGAGATTTTACCAAAGCACCTAACTCTGCATGCTATTTTTACAGGCAGTTTCACCTGATCTTCACAATACTCCTATGGGGTAACAAATGCTCAACTTTGTGTTGGGGGGAAGTAATTTGGAGTGGGACTGTGACATGCTCAAGTTCGCATGATCAATAAACCAAGGAGCCTGGAACTCAAATCCAGACCACCTGACCACTATTTCCTTTGTACTATGTTTCCTGCCCCAACTGTCTATTGTGAAAAACACACAAAGAAATTATTTTGAAAAGTAAATTTTCAACAATGCAGCTATACAGTTTTAAGCAGGTTAAGCAATTTGTTATATTAGAGAAGAACCAGAACTTAATCTAAGATTTTAAGGTTGATAAATCAATTAGCAGAAAACACATTATTTTTCTTATAAGAGTAGTAATATTCCCTGTACTTCAAAAGCTCTCGATTTAAATAAGAACAATGAAAATAAGTCAACTGCAACATGGGCAAAACTCTAAACAGGTATTTCCCCAAAAGACATATAAATGTCCAATATGCACAGGAAAAAATGCTTATCACTAGCCATCAGGAAAACGTAAATCGGAACCACAATGAGGTTAATACTTTACACCTCACACACTAGGCCAAATAATAGCAAGTATTAGCAAGACGTGGAGACACTGGAACTCTCCTTTACTGCTGATAGGAATGCAAAATGTGTAGTTGCTGTGGAAAACAGTCTGGCAGTTCTTCAAAAGGTTAAAGATATGACCCAGCAGTTCCACTCCAAGGAATATACCCTGGAGAACTGAAAACATACATAAAACTTACACAAAAATGTTCATAGCAGCATTATTCATAAAAGCCAAAAAAGTGCAAACAATGCAGATGTCCATCAACCGACTGATGGAGAAACAAAATGATCTATCCATGTGATGGGATGGTCATAAACAAGAATAAAGCACTGACACACGCTACAACAGAAATCAATCTTAAAAATAATGCTCCGTGAAAGCAGTCACAAAAGACCACACACCATATGGTTCTACTTACACACAATGTCCAGAACAGGTGAATCTAGAGACGTGGAAAGGAGCTTGGTGGTTGCCTAGAACTGAGGTTAGAAATGGTGGTAGTGCTGGGAAGAATTTCAGAGGTACAGGGCCTCTTTTTAGTTCGATGGAAATGTTCTAAAATTGATTGTGGTAATGGGTTGCCCAACTCTGAACATACTAAAATCTACTGAACTGTACATTTTAAATGGTTAATTATATGGTATATGAGTACCTTAATAAAGCTATTGTTTTTTAAGTTCTCTAATTTCACCATAGAGCACATGTGTAATACTAGGCACTTACTGAGGTTTACTTTAAATCAAATGGTTTTTTTCTCATCATTGCCTAACAGTTCTTAGAATTCTAATAACTGTATAGCATTTCATCATTGCCTAACCATTTAGAACTATAATAATTGTATAGCATTGCATCATAATTTTTCTATATCCTTCATGGAGATAATTTAACTTTGAATTTATGGATTTAAACTTGAAATATTAATAGATGTAATATTAAGATGCTCAGCAAAAGGATTCTGGAGATCCACTTATGACATCACCATCTATCCACTTAGCCAAGAGACGTAAGAAACACTGTTGTTTTGACCTCCCTTCACCCCTCAAATCCATCATCAGGAAGCTGTTTATAAACTATATATGGGCAGGATTTTTTCTGTTCATTCACTGTGGAACCCCTGGTGCTCAGAACAGTACACATAGAAGATGCTTAATTAACATTTGTTGAATAATTAAGTGCATGTTCTACTTGGAATTAGCACCTGAAAATATTTTTAATCTTTCAGCTGATAATCCGTCAGTATATATAGGATTTTTTAAAATGTAGACTATGGCAGGTTCATTTCCCACTCCAGCTGGTAAAATACATGAAGGCTAAATTCTCAAAGGGACACAGGTATGCTATACTGCTAGGACATGTAGAACGTTATACTTTATTCAAGTGTGCTCTTGTTATCTGACCCGTGAATATTTAAAAGATACTTTATTATAAAAACTTACATCTGTAAGTCATGGACTGACCACAAGAGGGCTGAACCTCGAATACATGGATAGGCTTAGGGGCCCAAGAACCCCTAAAACTATATCCAAAGTCTAACATGTATATTGGCATGTGCATCTTTTTGGTGAGAGAATTCAGTTTTCAAAGAAGTCTATGAGCCAAGAGAGGTTAAAAAATTACTTAACTAGAAACAGAGTCACAAAATTTTTAAACATGAATTTGTACAATAAAATAATATCCAACAGCTCCATCTATGGGTAAGTTATTACCACCTTGTAGAAATATCGACAACCACCAGAGATCAGTGCATCTTAGGAATGCCTATGTTTAAGTTTTCAGTGTCACTCTAGTGGGAATTTATTAACTACAGTTATCACAGCTTTTTTTCTCAGATGTAGATGCAAGTTAGGAAACTGTTGATGAATTCTACTTACAGTACTTCAGCACCAAAAAATTGGGCAGTTATGCTGATAAATGTATATACAGTTCAACATCTGTCAGTCTTAAAATGCTTATTTATAGTGAAATCTATATAAAACCATTAAAAACTTTTCTATTTACATTTTTTAAAAATGAAAAGTACAGTTTCCTTTGCCACAACACGTCAAAACTAACTCAATTTCCCATCCCTCATCCCTCGCTCTACCGGTGTCAGACAGCAACCACAAGACCAGAACATATTGCTTGGACAATCTGCATCCTAAGAAATGTAGGATGTGTAAAAACATTACATTTAGAACTGTAAATGAACCTTTTATACATTTCAAAGGAGCTTAAACAAAGTACGTGAAAATTATTTTCAAAGTCTCAGTTCAACATGAATGTGCAATTTCATTGTTAAGAAAGCATTGTATGATTTAATAATTTGTTTTCCTAACAAAACTGAACATTTCCTTTGGACCAGAAAATGTTTCTTTTCCTCTGCTTCACAATGAAACATTTTCTAGTAAGTTTACTTAAAAGGAGTGTGGGGGTAAGAAGATGGGAAGTGGAAAAGGTAGGCAATCCTGGTTTACAAGATATTTGTCAAAAGGATTATGGCCTGCTTTGAAATGTTTACACTTAAATAAATAGAAGGCAAGAGTGCTACATGGAGCACAAAGGAACACCACCACAATAAATTAGCATCCAACGATGAGAATGTACAAGCCACCCCAAAAGCACTTCCTCTGGTTAGGAATCTGATTTCCGCCATCCAACAGGGATTCTTTAATGCCAGCTCTTTTCTATATATGGATAAACTAATAACGAACTGAGCAAAAGTAAAATGTTAATTCAGTACTTCCGGGAATTTGCAAAAACATATAAGATTTTTTAAAAACCGTTCCTGCCACATCATTTTGAAATACAAACTATTCATATTCTCCTTTTTTCGATGGCATTTTGCTCAGCAGAATCCAGTTGAGGAACATTCACAGGGAAAGTCTCCTTCCACTTTAAGACTGAACTTTTCTATCGGCCATGGTTCAACCGAGAAAGAACAGCAAGTCTTCAGTCACTGTAGTCACTGTGGATGTGCATCTTTTTTTTCTTATTTTTTTTTTATAAAAAAAAAAGTACATTCCCCTTGGAGTTTTATCTTGTTTTAAAATGCTGCTCCTGCAGCAATATCTTGTTGAAACTGCTGTTTTAGGGTCCACAGCCTAAGTATGGGCAAAGTGCTCTTTTTAGACATCAAAATACAAGGGTTTCCCTGGACACTTGGTAACCAAGCAGGCTTTAAAGTGCACTCCTGTGTTCAAGATGCTAGGACCGTTCGGCAGCGCTCTGAGAGGGGCTGGGCTCAGTTCCGTCCTCTGTGCTACTGTCTATGTCCTGCTCCATTGCTGTATCATCATCATCCAGCTGCTGACTGGTAAAGTTGTTCAGCTCAAGAAGGCCACTGGGCTCCACTACCACATTGGAGCTGGAGTGACAAGGAATAGCATACTGGGGAATGGCCTGCAAGAGAATACATAGGAGAGAAATCTTTTTGGTAAGAAAAGGTAACAGAAGGATTTCCCCAAAACTAAGAAAGGAAAAACATAAAATTGGTATTTTCTGGACAGCTGCTACACACCAGGCACTGTGCTAGGTACTTTCACATATTATATTTTATCAAACTCCTGCTATAACGTTACAGGGAAATTATTACTCCCATTTCACAAATAAGAAAACTGAGAGGGTAAATGATTTAAACAAAGCCACGCAGTTTGTCAAGACTAATGTTAGGATTCAATCCAAGTCCTGTACAACTCCAAGAGATCTTTTCCATTCCTTTATGGCATCTCTTCTAACAAAAGGCTGGAATTTGTTGCTTAATTCAAGATACAGACTTTGAAGAATATGTGCATTTATTTTTAGGCAAATTTAGATGTAAATGTAGCCAAAATTTGTTCTCTATTATATTCAAAATGATTAATTTGCTGATTTAAGCGTCTGGTGATTCAAAGAGGAAATTATTTGAGTCACAAAATAGCAATATTTATTGAAAATGAGAATAATAAAATTATTCAAGTATGAGAGAGGCCAAAATTTGCCTTTTAAACAATAAAATGCCAGGAGATGAACACTTGCTGCAGATCTCTAAGCAGGTAAATGTTATAGGCACATTGCCTTGTTACATTCTTTTTCCTCATCTTTAATAGACATCTTTAGAACAGGTCTATATCATTTCATGTCATAGCCCTGTTAAAGCTCTACAGCTGGTTCCTATCATACTTGCTCTACAACCAAACTCCTTACCATGGCTCCAGCCTCATGACAAACTCACTTGTACCTCGGGACTTTTGCACTAGTTCTTCTCTTCCTGATTCTGTTCTCCTCCTCTCCCCCCATTTCTGCATGGCTGCCTCTATCCTCTACAATGTATTAAGTCCTCAGGAAAGTCATGATGTATTTTTCTACATTTTTCTATGCAAAAATAAGTCATGACTTTCCCGACAACCCAACAGCTCAAATGCTTAGAGACAACTGTTTAGAAAACCATTGTTTCCATGACCAACAAACCCCAAGTTGTTTGTTCCATGACCAACAAACCCCACCTCTATTAAAATCCTGTTCCATTGTCTTCACTGTATTTATCACATCTGTTAAATTGCTTCTCACCCTTAGAACACAAGCTACATGACAGCATAGACAGAGCACACTGTTCTCCTCCTCTCCCCCCATTTCTGCATGGCTGCCTCTATCCTCTACAATGTATTAAGTCCTCAGGAAAGTCATGATGTATTTTTCTACGTTTTTCTATGCAAAAATAAGTCATGACTTTCCCGACAACCCAACAGCTCAAATGCTTAGAGACAACTGTTTAGAAAACCATTGTTTCCATGACCAACAAACCCCAAGTTGTTTGTTCCATGACCAACAAACCCCACCTCTATTAAAATCCTGTTCCATTGTCTTCACTGTATTTATCACATCTGTTAAATTGCTTCTCACCCTTAGAACACAAGCTACATGACAGCATAGACAGAGCACAGACCTGAACTATCTTATTCATTGCTAGACATCAAAAGCTTGAACAGGACCTGTTCAAATGTTACTAGATACTCAATAATCATTTGATGAATGATACATTTTCAACATTAAAAATGCCAGAGCAAAGTTGAGTATCTGCACTTTGCAAATATACCTAACCAATATAACCTTTTACTGGGAGAAATTATAAATTTAATTTTAATACTACAAAGAAAATGCAAGATGCCTACATATTGAATCTGGGGTGGTGAAGTTTTATGTGTTTGTTTCTCCTCTCTTCTTCCATAGAACTAATCAATTTGGGAAAGAATAATATGGGTCAGGAAATCTGGATTTTAGTATAGCTCTGGAGCTGACTTGCAATGGGTCACTAAGTAAGTCACTCCACTTACTGTGCAAAATGAGATACTGAGAGAAGACAGATTCTTGTGGTTCTTAAAGCCTATAAATTCCACATACATATACTCCTTCAAGATAGAAAATATAGCCATCTAAGTTTACTTCCCTATCTCAGCCACCTAACAAACACGGTGCCTGAAACAGTGGTTAAATAAAACAGGTGGAATAAATGAACCAATGAATGAATGATTATCTGTATACAACAATGCTTTTCATTCAAAACATTTAATATTAAACATGTTGGGTTTTTTTGTTTTGTTTTGTTTTGTTTTGTTTTGTTTTTGTGGTCAGAGGGCACATATACTCACTGGAGAGCAACGAAGAAAGAGGGAGAAGGAAGTGAGGAAAGCAGCACACCCCCCCACCCCCCATGAAGAATGGTCACACCTCTATCTCTTCTCTATTTCTCCTCTTTTTGGGATTCTGGGCACACATGCAGATGAGCCCAGCATACTTGCTAAGTAGTTGGGTCTGGGACTTAAACAATGTAGTCTGCCATGTGGGATCTAGCCACCTTAATTTTATGGCCCCATGCTGAATTTTTATAAAGCATTCTTTAAAAAAATCAAAGCATTTCACAAACTTCCTTCACTTACCCCCATAATTATTTTATGAAATCAGAAAAATTGGTACTTCAGGGCCAATACTTGGCATAACTAATCAAGTTTAAAAACATTCTAACAATGCCTCAATGATGAGTATTATAACAGAGGCTATCTTTACTGAATACTGTTCTCTATCAGACATTTGATCAGGTACTTCATATACATTTCTCACTGAAGCCTTAAAACAACTTTGTGAGTTAAAGTGTTACTGTTTCCATTTCACAGTGCTGTTGTGAAATGAGTGTGGTGGAAATCAAACCTGGGGAATCTCTGACTAGCTGCCCTCCCCTTTGACAAAACACACCTAGCACAGTTCTGTAGAGACCTGCTTATCAGCTATCATCCTTGACACATGATGCAAATTACATTTTCATCTCTGCTCATAAAGCACAAAAAAAAAATAGCTATCCAACATGATACTCAAATTAGTGAACACATTCATCTAAATCCTTAGTAGCTACAATAAAAACAGTTTTTAGTCATCTAACAGTTTGTTAAGATAATCCATTATGAGGTGGGTATTGTGTTAGGTGCGTAATCTGTATAATTCTCACAACAATCCTACACAGTAGCCATTATTTATTCTTCCCATTTTACTGGTGAAAAACTAAAGCAGAGTGAGGTTAAGTAAATCTTGCCCAAAGTCACACAGTAAATAACAAAGCTAGGAAAATATTTCTTTTGTACAACACCCTACCTTTTCAGGAGAAATTTTTAAAAATCACAACAAATCTTTCTGTCAAGGATACATTTGTTTTCACAGAAGGAAACAAGTAATTTGAAAAATTCAATGACCAGTCTACTTGCACTTAAGCATTTCCCCATACTCAATTATATTTCATTGGCTTAACATTAGTCAATTTACATTCTCTCATAGCCTGGTGTCATGACAAAGGGAAAGTTTATTACAAGAACTTCTAACTCTCACAACATTGAATCTATGGTAAATCCTAGACTATCCACATTTCAATAAACCAAAATTCTTACTTAACTAAAATGTCCTGCTCTGAGACTTTCAATCTTATAGAAAGGATTCTTCAAAAAGTTTATGAAAAATCAAATGAAAGTAAAAGTTCATTTTGAAACAAAATTTTGAAACTGGCACATCATTTTTTCATAATACACACTTTCCATGAACTTTTTTTAAAGACTGCATTTATCAGTTGAGCAAAAAATTACAAATGTCAAGAAAATAACCTGATACCTTACAAGGAGAGAGGGAAATAAAATACCACTTCTAGGGTAGTATGGACTCAGTCATTCTTCAGTCTTGATATACTATGTATGATAACAGATGACTTTTAGAATGAAGGAACTTCTAGAATGAAGGAATACCTACTACTATCAGTAAATAATTCCATTACGTTAACTAGCCTGTACCTAGTAAAAGTCAGTAACCATAACAGGATTTTTTAAATAATGAAGACTGAAATAAAAAAGCCAAATTTTTTGTTGTTCCCAAATTACAATGGTTTACAAATTCCCGTAGAACAGGTTTTTTTCGACACTCCAACTAGAATGTCTAAAGAATCATAAATCTGGATCAAGAACAAGAACTGCTTTTCTAAGGAGACAGTCACTGAAGTACAACCAGTTGATATGAACCCAAGAAGCTACTGATCTTCTGGGATGACTTGCTGAGTTAACACACTGTTAAACACAGCTTTCATGTCAGAATATTGAGCTGGCACATATATTCCCTCTACAGTGTGCTGTGTGACAATATTAATCAATGTTCAATGAGTCTCTTCCAGAAAAAAATAAATACAAATTTTGTATTTGTAAAAGGCATTAAACCAGATTTATCAAACACCACCCTAAAGATAATCTTCATACCTTCTTGTCATCTTGCCTTAAAAATCTCATGTGACACCCCAAACACACCAAGCCCACAAATCCCAAGACTTCTCATTTTTCCTTCCAATTCTTACCTGGATGATTATTTCTGCTGGGCTCTCCTCAGCCTTCTTTTGGCCTACATTCTGAATACGCATGAACTGGCCTGACGTAGGTACTCCCGGTCCATCAATTTTTCTTGTCGTTAGGGGAGGGCCAATAGTGGATGGACTTGAACAGGACTCTCTACATTTCTGTTGCTGGGGAGTGGAATTCGCCATCCCTGCCATCACCATGTGGGTGGAGGGTAACGATCCTGTTTCACCAGTGAGCATACTAGTGGCAAGAGCCTTCTTTGGGGGATCCACTACCATATGCTCTACATTTGTATCAATCTGAGCTTCCATCAAAGACATTTTCAAAATGTCTGACACTGCTGTCTTCTCAGAGGCCTGAATGGGAGATATGCTTGTAACTGGTGATGTCAGCTTAGGCACAGAACTGCCACCAGTTATCTTTGTAACTGTGGGAGGCTGGCGCCCCTCAAAAGTTATCTTTGTAACAGAGGATCCTTGGGTTATAATTGGCTGCTCCACCTGAAAATAAATTGGGGTTGTGTGTGTTACAGCTACATCTCTTTGAGAAAACCTAATCAAACACCCTAGACAATATGGCAAAAGAAACATTTGTGCGGTATACTAGGAAGACATTCTGAAGCTTGGTGTTTTAATAAGAGGGCTGGATGGGAAGGTTCTGGTTACTTTTAAGGAACCTAGGGAAAAAGGAGGGGTTGAAAGAACATATGTTCAGTGAGCCAAGGTTTATAGCAATAAAGGAAAAAAAAATGTCACAGCAGCCTAGTTTTCCTTTGGGATTTACATCTCTTAAAAGTACATCTTCAACCTGGCTCAAATTATTTCACATAATCTTCAGCTTTATAAAATAAAAAGGAGTAGGGTTTTTTACTTTTTAATCTTTTGCTTCAAAATACATTTATACAAACATATTCTGTAAGTATGTATTTGTAATATACACACACACACACATATGTATCACTCCAGAGCCACTTATTTTTCCTAATATAATTTTTTTTTAATTACCCAGTTAAGGTAATGCCTCTGCAATCTAGAAGATGAATCTAGAAAAAAAAATTTATTAACTAGATGGTGATGATATAAATAAACTACGAAGGAAGCTATTCAGTGAAGTTCTTTAAAAGACAGCAGTTTACTTAGCATTGTTGCCACAGTAATTAAAGTTTACAGGCATAGAAATATTTTATACCTAAAAAAATAATTTAGGGATATTGTTTCTATGCACTGTTGGTCAATGCTGAAGTGATTTCATTAAAAACTGCCTGGAAAATCAAGTTCTGGGTGCTATGCTTTTTTTTCTTCCCATATTAATGCGTGCACTTCTTCCCTAAGGTCAACCTTCTGATGGGACAAAGTAATACCAGTGTAATGAGGCTTTTGAGTTTCCTCTTGCCAGGAGAAAGCACTGCTATCCTGACAGGGTTGTGATGTTCTCATTTTTTCCGTAAACAGAGAAGTTTAACTGTGCATGCTATCAATATTCCGTTACCTGGCTTGCCGGCTGTTTCTCAGATGAGGCTGGGAGCGACATTTGGCTCTGGGGGGTTTGGGGTTGCACGTAGATTTTTGGTTGGTTTGGAGCCTGCTGCAGTTTGGGGAGCTGCTGCGTGGTTTTCACCGCAAGCACCTGTACTACAGTCTGCGGGGGCTGTGCCATTAAGGTAGGAAGCTGCCTGTCTTTGGCCACCATGGGATGCTGTGTGTGCTGCACATCTGGCTTGGGCTGTGCTTGTTCTTGCTGGAGAGGGGTGAGTTTCTGATGCCTGATGGAAAGCTGGGGCATCTGCGGGAGTTTGTGCTGCAGCTGGTCTGCCTGCAGGTGGATGGTCTGCTTCTGTTTAGTTTGGAAGCACTGCAGAGTTTTCACTTGCAGCTGAGTCTGTTCCAGCTGGGGTTGGCTAAGTTTCTGCTGTTTAGCTGACTGTGCCTGAGTCAGAGCAGATCGGTAAAACAGACCTGTCTGAGGGTCTAAAGTGTCCATCTCTTCAACCTCGCCCTCCTCAGTTCCAAGTTCCTCGCTGTGTTTGGTGAAAGCAGTGTGACTGCTTAATGCCTAAGTAAAAAAGGTACAAAGTAAGTATGAAATAAGAAAAATACCTATATTGTTATATTTTCCTCAAACGAGAAAAGACTTGGTTATGAGATTCATTCAAAAATTTTCACAAGAGCCTAAAAAGACCAAGAACCTCAAGGGATCTTTTGAATGAAATTCTTGTAATTTCAATTCTTGGATGTTAAAGTACTCACTATTATAAGAAAAGTCCCAGAAGGCCCAGGACTTACAGATTGGAGAAGTAAAGTGACCCTACAAGCACAGCCCAACACAAAAAAGAGAAAGGCTCCCTGGCTCCAGAAATAGCTCTCTACCTATCACTAGAGGCATCAACCTGTCTAAAGCAAGGACAAGTTGTAACCAAGAAGTGAGGCATCCAGAGAACAGCCATGGCTCCCAGAAGTCCACTGTGGCTGTGAGCATGTCTAGTGCTGTCCAGAGGCCAGGGATGCTGTTCTGGGCCCTATGGAGGGCCTCCTTGTATCAGGCTTCACTGAGGGCTGTGTGAACCATCTCTTGACTAGCCCTTCTTGTCCCTCTGCTCAAAGGCCAGTCCCACAGGCAACAGCTCCTAGAGGCCTGGCTCCTGAAGGAAGGGTAGTGGGTAGGGGACAAGAACCTTCTTGTCAGCTGAGACCATCTGGGTCAATCAAAACAGAATTGGAAGGAGGTGTCTTCTTAAGTGGCAGCCTGTCTGACTTCTCTAGGTGTCTTGAGAAAGGTCAGTGTCAGGACCTGCCAGGAGGGCCAGACTCCAGATCTGCTGCCCAGGAAAACGTTGGGGCAGCTGGATTCCCTCAGTGACAAAACAAGATCCACTCTAAACTTGAAAACTATGAGACTGACCTGGAACCCTCCCCTATATCACAATGACTTTCTGCATACAGGTTTTCAGTTCAACAAATTCTTCGTTGCCTTTCATGTAGTTTGCCTACAATTAGGTTCAACTGCTACCATCTAGTCAATAAGTAATGGTGATTTATGTGACTACTACCACTAAGCCATGCATAAATCTGATATCCTTGATATATCTGTTCAACAGAGGCAGTTCACTTTGGGTTTAAATCTCATCTCTGGCACCTGCGGCAAGTCACTTAATTTCTTTGAGCATGAGTTCCCTCACTTATAAAAGAGGGGTATTATACACCCACCTTGTAGGATCACAGTAAGTGAAGCAAGTTAAGGCACTTAAAGCTCGAAGCACTGTAACTAACAAAGAATCAACTTATCAAGACAGTTTTCTTTTCCCCACAGCCCTTAATATCAGATTTTAAGGGTTTCTATTTCACACTACTTACTGATGAGTCTCTTCTTCCTCTTTAATTGGTCATATATGGTTAAAGAAGTCAAATATTATTTTCCTACTTATTCATAATGTTCCCACGAGGATTAATTATAAAAGACGAAACCAAACAAAACAAACTCAGCACCAAACAGCTAAATAAGCCAAATCCCATTTTCATTTAAAAATCTTATTATCAATGATAAATTCTTCCACAGCAGTATTAAAATACATAGAATCAGTGCCAATCTGATGTCATAAGATCCATTTAGACAGCCACAACCTTTTGATTCAGCTAAGAGAAATGTATAGAAGATTCAAGAATACGTTTTCTTATTATTTTCTGGTATTAAGACCCTCAATTCAGTTCCTCTACTCATACCTCCCAGATAAAAGAATCAAACACTCTACAATTCAGTAATTTCTCCCTTTAAAAGATGAAACTGAACCTTGTTGCATGAAAAAGGTGGTTACAGAACATGAGAAGGAAAAAGAAAAGATACAACCTGCTGCATAATGTGGGTGATTGCTCCAGGGGAAGACGCAGGGATGGACTTCACGACCACTGAAGTCTGTGTTGCGGTCTGCGACTGAGCCACATGCTGAAGTAGGGTCCGCTGGGGCTGGGAGGGCTGTTGGGGCTGGGAGCGATGGCTGACTGAAAATAGAGGAGGTGATGATATTTCTCCAGAAATTCCAACAGCATCTGTAACCAGCAGTGATTTTAAACAAATGTCTGTGAGCTTGCATCACAGAGAGAAAATGTGGTACTGTGAACTAAGAGGCAGAAGACCAGAGTCTACCCATCTATGAGCTGTGTGACTCTAAGAAAGTCTCTAGTCTTCTCTGAGATTCTGTTTCCTCATCTGTAAAATGGGAATAACAGAGCTATTATAAGGATGAGATGAGAAATGTATAATTTTGTACAACTGTGTAAAAGCACAGTGAAAATTATTATCATAAAGGAGGAACAAACCTCTTTAAGTTACATCCTCCTGTGAGTTGTACTTTCTCCAATGACTTCTAACTCATTAAGACAACAAAGCAATAACCAGTTTCTGTAATCTCAGACTAAAATATTCAAGCAGAGAAAGGCAATACAAATTCTTTAGTCTCTTGTTCCAAGTTCCAAATGCAATACAAACATTGCAAGCATTTACTCCCTTATATGTAGTGAAATTATCTCATACCCTCAGTTCCTAAAACCAAAGAGGTCAGGATGACCCTGCAGACCAAGAGTTATACTTGGATTCTATCCTGCTCTGCTGCCAAGTAGCCATGAACATTTAAAGAGGTTACTTGCCATCTGTTAACATCTAAAACATGGAGGTATTTCTTCTGATTTTTGAAATGGGATAATTAAAAACTTGCTGTTTCTACTTAGAACAGAACCAAATGAAGTAATACACTGAAAAAATGTCCTTAAATTGTAAAGCACTAAACGGTATTGAGACTAACAAAAGAATATAAAAATTGGTTTTGTCATTTCAAATTCTGCTCATCTGACACAAATGAGTAAAAGTGCAACCATCCTTCTATTCTCTTGACGCAAAGGTCCCATGGACTAACTGCAATTATTCCTCTACATAAGTACCAACCTATCAACTTGACAAGCCTCACTTCAACTTTTTAAACAGCATAAACATTCGCCACTTCCAAATCTATAGAGTTTTAAAAATGCTTATGGTTACTGGGAAACCAACCCTTTTTGGATCAGGAATAGGTAGAGTAAAATAAATCTGTAAATTAGCTAAGAATTTTGAGATTATCAAAAATCTCTCAATAATCGATGATTCTAATGTTTATATACCTTGATCTACAATTTCAAGTAGCACTGGTTCCATGCTTAGAAAAGTCATCATGGGGTGTCCAAGAGTTAGATGATCACTACAGAAATCAATGTAAAAATGCCATTTATGTATAGTAAGGACAAAACTTTAAAACTACCCCACAAAATATAAATAAACTTTACCTATTTGTGTGTGTGGGTGTATGTGTGTCTGTGTGTGTGAGAGAGAGAGAGAGAAAGAGAGAGGGAGTGAGTTAAGATAGTGTTTTACTTTGCCATGATCCTTCTTCCTCAGCTCCCAGGTACTTGGAACCATAAGTATGTATACCACACCTGGCATCTCAGAGTGGGCTGGGAATCAAACTTAGGCCTCTCCAGTGGCCTCACCAAGTAGCAGCATCCTGAGAATTAAGGATTTCTACATTTTTCTCTTTATAGTTAAAAATAAAAGTCTAAATTCTATAACTTCTTTCTTTCTTGACTCCATTTTGCAGCTAGACTTTCATTTTTCATGACACATTCTATCCATATTCATAAATGCAATTTCTACTAATGCTGTATGTATGTCTACACATGATATACAATTATAGGCAGCATTACCAGTATTCTCTTATAAATGTACTATGTATGACCGGCAGGTGGCATAGTGGTTGAGGTGCTAGACTCCCACATGGCTGACCACAGTTCAAGTCCCAGATTTGGAGGCTCAATTTCTCACACTCTTCCTCTTTCTCTGTCTTTCTCTGGCCAAATTAAAGAATAATAAATAAATAAAATTAAATAAATACTTCTTTTAAAAACACTAATTCTTAAAAGTACTAGTAGTATTTTACTGTATTTCACAGTACACTTTATATGTATATCTTATATGAAATAATAAAATCTTCAATATGTGCTCAGTGGAACTAAAAAAAGGCAGTCAGTTTACATTAAGTCAAGTATTGAAAATATTTATAAAATAAGAAGAAAAATGATAGTAATACTAAAATTAAGCAAACAAATCAGCAAGTTTCTTTTTAATGGACGCATCATCAGCAACGAACGACTTTTGAGAATTAAATAATAAATTGATGATGATATCAGCAAATGATATGGAACATATTAATCTTCCTAATTATTACACTAAGCTCTTTTTTGTTGTTAAGAAACAAAATGGATTGGGGCCAGCAGGTAGCGTGGTGGCTGTTAAGGATGCTGGACTCCCACATGGCCGACTGCAGTTCGAGTCCCAGACCTGGAGTCTTGCTGTCTCACTTTCTCTCTTTCGCTTGCTTGCTCTGTCCTCTCTGATCAATTTATAAATAAATAAATAAATAAATAAATAAATAACATTAAATAAAATAATTCTTTTTAAAAAAATGGATTTAAGAAGATTAGCTAAAACTACATAAAAATAATCCTCCTTTGGTATACTATCAATGTCTTTACAGTCAAGTCTCCAGAGTTCAGGAAAGTTAAAGAAAACAAATACTACAGAATGATACAATGGACCAGGGCCAGGCAGCTGGCTTTAAGTCAAAGAAAATGCTCAGTATGGCTGTAGATATGAGAGGTGGAGACTGTGGAAGCAGATCAGTGTGAATGTTTGGAAAATTGCTGAAGTTACCTTAACTGGGCCATGGAAATACTATGAGTCATGTATTTCTTTAACTTCCATTTTTTTTCCAATTAAATTGTTTGTTTCTGAAAAATAATTTCACTGTTTTGCAAAAGGAAAATCTTTCTCCCTTTCACTAAGTAGAGCTTACCTTTCCTCTGCCAGATCAGAGTAGAGCGCATCCACTTAAGTGGTTCCCCCCAAATAATCATATTTTACCTTCAGCGATACTACAAATGGATGCACACCACTTACCTAGAAGGGGAAAAGCAACCTCTGTCCCCTCATCAGTGCGTTCTGAAAAGGATAAGTAAGGGAAGAAATCATAGGTCTTTTCATCTATTTACCATTTGATAACTGAGTCTACCCCCAGAGGTTAATACGAAGTTCCCCAACCTACTGGCCTCCTCTGCTTTAATTAGCTTTCTACTAAATATCTCTAAAAATAAATTCTAGATGGCTTTCAGTAATCTTAACCAGATATTTCTCTTTTGGTAAATTTAATCCATTAGTCTTAATAACATCTCCTAAAATTATGCCAAAGAATTTTTTTCCTCTATGGTATTTATATCCTTCTAATATTTGTAACTTTATATTCTCCTTTAATCACTGCTTAAGGAAACTTAAGATAGGAGTAATCTATATACTGCCTCATAAATCATCTCTCCTAAACCCTTAATTATTCACATTATTACTCTCTAAACTATTTTAAATCTTGAGGTAATGAAGTGTCCAAAACAGAAAGCAGTTATTTCACGTGTGTTCTCACCAGAATATGAGATACAAGAATCTATTATCCTTCCTGCTTTTCTTCTTTTATATGCCATCCAAAAATCTTAGTAGTGTTTAGCTTATAGACCAAATTTAAACAAATACCTAATCTGCTTTCTATAAGAACTCTCAAGTATTTACAGAGATGTAAGAAGTTCCACATTTTTTTCTTTATAGTAACAAAGAGAAAAGAATTTTATACCCTCTTTCTGGACTCATCTCCCCCTACGTTAAAATATCCAAATGCACAAGAACACTTGTTTTTAGATTGAAACTATTTGTCCTTCCCTATAATAGTTTCCCTGTATTCACAGACATTATTTATGGATGATGCCATCTTACATTACTTGCGAACTCTGTAGCATCCTATTGATTTTTTTTCCTAGTCACGGAAGACAGAGTAAATCCCAAGAATAATGTGGGTTTGCAATAAAAACAGGAAAAGAGCTAGAAATAGAAAGAATATATTCTCCCCAATGACCATCCCATGAAATCCAGAAAGGCAACTCTCCTACCTTAATACTATGTTTCAATAGAACACCTACCAGTAGTGATGTATTCAGCAACTAGTTCTGACTCTACCAAGATTTGCAATCAACCATTCTCACGTTCTTTCTCTTTCTCTGTCTTTCTCTGGCCAAATTAAAGAATAATAAATAAATAAAATTAAATAAATACTTCTTTTAAAAACACTAATTCTTAAAAGTACTAGTAGTATTTTACTGTATTTCACAGTACACTTTATATGTATATCTTATATGAAATAATAAAATCTTCAATATGTGCTCAGTGGAACTAAAAAAAGGCAGTCAGTTTACATTAAGTCAAGTATTGAAAATATTTATAAAATAAGAAGAAAAATGATAGTAATACTAAAATTAAGCAAACAAATCAGCAAGTTTCTTTTTAATGGACGCATCATCAGCAACGAACGACTTTTGAGAATTAAATAATAAATTTCTGATGATATCAGCAAATGATATGGAACATATTAATCTTCCTAATTATTACACTAAGTTTTTTTTTGTTGTTAAGAAACAAAATGGATTGGGGCCAGCAGGTAGCGTGGTGGCTGTTAAGGATGCTGGACTCCCACATGGCCGACTGCAGTTCGAGTCCCAGACCTGGAGTCTTGCTGTCTCACTTTCTCTCTTTCGCTTGCTTGCTCTGTCCTCTCTGATCAATTTATAAATAAATAAATAAATAAATAAATAAATAACATTAAATAAAATAATTCTTTTTAAAAAAATGGATTTAAGAAGATTAGCTAAAACTACATAAAAATAATCCTCCTTTGGTATACTATCAATGTCTTTACAGTCAAGTCTCCAGAGTTCAGGAAAGTTAAAGAAAACAAATACTACAGAATGATACAATGGACCAGGGCCAGGCAGCTGGCTTTAAGTCAAAGAAAATGCTCAGTATGGCTGTAGATATGAGAGGTGGAGACTGTGGAAGCAGATCAGTGTGAATGTTTGGAAAATTGCTGAAGTTACCTTAACTGGGCCATGGAAATACTATGAGTCATGTATTTCTTTAACTTCCATTTTTTTTCCAATTAAATTGTTTGTTTCTGAAAAATAATTTCACTGTTTTGCAAAAGGAAAATCTTTCTCCCTTTCACTAAGTAGAGCTTACCTTTCCTCTGCCAGATCAGAGTAGAGCGCATCCATTTAAGTGGTTCCCCCCAAATAATCATATTTTACCTTCAGCGATACTACAAATGGATGCACACCACTTACCTAGAAGGGGAAAAGCAACCTCTGTCCCCTCATCAGTGCGTTCTGAAAAGGATAAGTAAGGGAAGAAATCATAGGTCTTTTCATCTATTTACCATTTGATAACTGAGTCTACCCCCAGAGGTTAATACGAAGTTCCCCAACCTACTGGCCTCCTCTGCTTTAATTAGCTTTCTACTAAATATCTCTAAAAATAAATTCTAGATGGCTTTCAGTAATCTTAACCAGATATTTCTCTTTTGGTAAATTTAATCCATTAGTCTTAATAACATCTCCTAAAATTATGCCAAAGAATTTTTTTCCTCTATGGTATTTATATCCTTCTAATATTTGTAACTTTATATTCTCCTTTAATCACTGCTTAAGGAAACTTAAGATAGGAGTAATCTATATACTGCCTCATAAATCATCTCTCCTAAACCCTTAATTATTCACATTATTACTCTCTAAACTATTTTAAATCTTGAGGTAATGAAGTGTCCAAAACAGAAAGCAGTTATTTCACGTGTGTTCTCACCAGAATATGAGATACAAGAATCTATTATCCTTCCTGCTTTTCTTCTTTTATATGCCATCCAAAAATCTTAGTAGTGTTTAGCTTATAGACCAAATTTAAACAAATACCTAATCTGCTTTCTATAAGAACTCTCAAGTATTTACAGAGATGTAAGAAGTTCCACATTTTTTTCTTTATAGTAACAAAGAGAAAAGAATTTTATACCCTCTTTCTGGACTCATCTCCCCCTACGTTAAAATATCCAAATGCACAAGAACACTTGTTTTTAGATTGAAACTATTTGTCCTTCCCTATAATAGTTTCCCTGTATTCACAGACATTATTTATGGATGATGCCATCTTACATTACTTGCGAACTCTGTAGCATCCTATTGATTTTTTTTCCTAGTCACGGAAGACAGAGTAAATCCCAAGAATAATGTGGGTTTGCAATAAAAACAGGAAAAGAGCTAGAAATAGAAAGAATATATTCTCCCCAATGACCATCCCATGAAATCCAGAAAGGCAACTCTCCTACCTTAATACTATGTTTCAATAGAACACCTACCAGTAGTGATGTATTCAGCAACTAGTTCTGACTCTACCACAGCAATTGAAGGACTCTCAGGAGAATGTCTCTTTTCCTGGGTCATCTGAATAGGCACTGCCATTTGACTCAAGTCAATAGTGGGTTGTCTTGGTTTAGATTCCAATTTTTCCTTTACTGCATAAAAAAGTCAGGGAAAAAGTTAATTTTTATTATAAATGAGTACTAAAACCAGAGTTGTCCACGGAAATAATGAACCAAACCTCCAGGGTGCCACACTGGCAGTGACTGAGGAGACAGTAAGTTGAAAAGAAAAAAAACCAGACTGCTTCGTATGGCTGGGTAGTGCATAATTTGCATAACCATACTCAGCAGCCTCCAAGAACTCATGCACCCATACTACAATTCCCCCTATCATCTCCAGGCCATGTTTCCTTTATGTATACTCCCCACAGGGTACTACTTCCTTTCCTCTTCAAGGTAATCCCTTGAGTTTACCAGCCTAAAAACAAAGCATAAATAAGCAGTACACAGCATGATTTGCTCTAGGGTGCATCTGCCCAGAATAGCACAGAATGACCAGTTTAATTTGATCTAATAAAAATTCAAGAGTATCTCCAAAGAAATGTTACAATGTCTTCAAAGAAAAAAATTTCATTGTTAGAAAAAAAATGGCCTCTGTTTCTGTAAAAAATGTCTAATAGAAAAAGTCTGGAATCAATAATGGTTTTTGTGAACAGACTCACTATTCTCTTATCACTTTTTCTAGAAAATCTATTCATTCAACTTTTCTCCCTTTTCTCCCTTTCTGAGACATTAATGGAAATGGCAAAGTATATCAAAAAACGAGAAACTGATAAACGCCTGAGGCCAAAAATAACATCAACAGAAGTATTAACCAAAGACTTACAATAAATGCTAGTATTCTTTGGGTAGTTTACAGTGTAAATTTTAATAAACAGTAGGCAGTAACTAAGTCCACTGAACAATCGTTCTCATCAAGTACACATAATATGACAAAATCAAAACAATCATTTAGACAAAGAAAGCAAAACAAAACAAAATGAATACAAAAGTCATCCCACAAGTAGAGAAGACACTGAACTAGGAAAAGATGAGGAGTCTTACTCTGCCACTGATCAATTGAGTAAATCTCTCTAGGTCTGTTATTTACTTATCCATGAGTGAAGGTATTTGATAAGATCACTACTAAGGTCCCTTAAGTACTGACAGTCTTTGACTTATTTCAATAGAAAAGTCAGTATTATTCAGGTGTGTCCTACAGTTTATAAAAGATATTTAGTAACTACAAATATAGTGAAAGGAACTTGTTATACGAGCATGGCTTCCCATAGATGCTCATGTGGCTAACCTATACAAAGAAATAAATCTGAAAATAAAATTGAAATAAATTAAAATGTTAGCAAGGGCCATTAATGGTGTGTTATGACTACAATACTGCTCTACCAATACCAGGGAAGATGGCAAAGGCCCGTCAATCTGACTCTTGCTATTCTTGAATAAAACCAGCAACTATACTGCATCTATCCTTATGCTTAGAAATGACAGACCTACTCCATTCTAATGGCAAGAGTCAACAGAACTGTCTGTTTTAAGTAGAATATAGACAGGACAGAATTCTGCCATGTTTTTCTCCTATCTACTGATGGTATTCCATCTGTGCTTTAGTATTCCTGTGTACATCTTAATGAACTAACAAGTAAACAGACTATACCAATGATTATAGACAAGTCCAGAGGGGGGAAGTGTGCTCAAATAATAGCAAAAAATATAACAGTGGTAGTATTTTAGCACAACCCGTCTCTAGAGAAAACATGCTTCATTCAGTTGAGCATGTGAATTCATACCTGTTGTCTGTTGGAGTTCTAACAGAGCTTTGATTGTTGAAGTAGCTGATTGTGATTCACTGGATACATCCTGATAAATTATGGTGGGGCTAGTCTCCATTGCAATCTCATGTTCTGACCAATCCTGACGCCGGGAAGCAATTACATGAACTACAGGCTGGGAATCTGTTTTATATTAGTTAAAAAAAAACAAACCCTATAAACAAAAGTTTCTCTTTAAAAAAAAAAAACAATTTGCTTTTTTGTTTTATCTTTGTATTTACTGTAAACTTCATGCTTTATCTCCCCAAGAAGACTGTGAGCCTCCAGAGGGCATAATGTCTATCACTCTGAATTTACTTGTTCATTCATTCATTTATTCCATAAACTGGACACCAATGTGTCAAAATCTGTATTTGGAATTGAGGATATGAAGATGCTCACAGGCTAATCAGAGTACGCTCAAGAAGCACACAGTCTAGTTGGGGAGACAGACAGGTAAAAAGACAAATTACAATTCAATGTGATAACTACTATATAAATAAGTATGCATTTATGTAGGTGGGTGCATGTTTGTGTACAGTAAGAACAAAGTGCTATAGGAATCTTATTTTCCCCAATGCATCTGAAGATGTGTTCTGTATACAGACTGGATATTCAGTCAATATTTACTGGATAGTTCAATTACTAAAGGAAATCCTGATCACTGACAATAAAAGACAGATGATCTAGAAGTAGCATAATATAACAGGATGTGTAACTTCTGAAGTTCAAAGCCTTGGGTTACAGTCCCAGTTCTACCAATTATTAGCAAGCTGACTCTTTGGATCTTAGTTTACTATTTCCAAAATGGGAACAATAAAATTACCATAAAATGGAATACCATAAAATGATACACGAAAATGAGCTTTGTAAATTATGAAAGCCAACAGAAATGCTATTATTGTTGTTACTGTGGTCCAGAAGTTCTCAATTGTAAGACTTTCTGTTAGTTTCAAAATAAATTACAGCTCTAATTCAAGGTTTATCACAGTAATAGTATATAGCTACACTTGTAAATACTAAATGAGCATCAAATAAAGCAAAAAAAAAAAAAATTAACTAAAATTTCCATCTATAGGGACAAGCAGTTGGTGTCATGGCTATGTCGCTGGATTCCCATGTAGTCTACCATGGTTCGAGTCCTGGACCCAGTGGCTTAAACTCACACCAGGCGCATGTGTATGTGTGCTCAAGATCCCAAGAGGAAAATGGAGGAGAAGGGATTGCAGCGTGGCCATTCCCCCTGGGGGTGATTTCTCACTTTCTGTCTGTCTGTCTCTGTCTTTCTGGTGAGCACACGTGCCCTATAGCGAAAACCTCCCCCAAAAAAGAAAAAAAATTCCATCTATAAAATAAACCAGACTGGACTAGATTGTGACTAACTTTCTAAACTCCTTTGTCCAAGGCACCACACAGGAAATTGTGGAGGATATAAGGGTATGATCCCTACTCCCAAATTTGGATTGCGATAGGGGAAATATAAAGACATATGGCCATGTACATTGGGATAAATATCAAACAAGTAGGGCAAGACAAATATGGGGGTAGCGTGGGGCAGTCCTTCAGAAAATTTGTGGAAAATGTACATTATGAGAAAAACCATGCAAGAATATTAAAACATTTGTGCACCAAATGAATTTGTATTTTCATTCCAATTTTCCACAAACTTTTTTAAGCACTCTCAACTATAGAAAGTAAAAGACTGCTTAAGAGACTGTGCACACAGAAAGGGCAGTTGACCATCATAAAGTATCAGTGTAGCAACTTTTGCAGCTGTGACACTAAATTAAGTGTATGAACCTAGGCGAAAATCATTCCTTGAATGATTCTCTGCCTGAATTTTTGCATATGCTACATAAACCAACTGCCTAGCAATTCCGATGCTGAGTCAAAGAATAAAGGAGTAGGATACCAGAGGCCTGATCTCACCAGTACCAGATTCTGCTTATAAAATGAGCATCATCACTGAGACTTGTTTTCCTCTCTGAAGGATCATGGCTTGCTGTCCCTCAGAAGTCTCTCCCACGGGTCACTTAGCAAATAATTATTGGACACTTACTACATGTTAGGTATCAGAGGCACACACTTCAGAATTATATCCAATGGCAGACTCAGGCATCTCTATGGAAGACCATCTACTATGTCTTTACTACAAAAGTCTACAATGCACTTTCACGGAATGTTAAGATCTCTCAGAAGAGATAAGAGATCTTAAAAGTTTAGTTAATGTTATTATCAATCCTATATGAAAAATCTCCCAATATCTCTGCAAGTCTTGGACTTTCTATACCAGACAACTCACTATTAGGCAGTGTCATCCATCTTTTGCACAGCCACAACAATCAGGAAGTTTTCTTATATTGAGTACAAAAAGTTCTTCCTGTCTTAGACTTCTATCCAATGGTTCTGAAGTCCATCCATGTATCCACAAAGACCCAGTTCTCTTCCCTCTTCCACATAATAGTTTTCACAATACCTGTCCTTCCCACTCCACCCCAACCCCATCTTCTATTCTCCAGGATAAATACTGTGTCTCCACCAACCATTCCTTATACACTGTAATTCCCAGATGCCTTACTTTCCCAAACCATCTCTTCTAAACTAAATTGAAGATGTCTATCCCCATTCTATGATGTAACATGTACCTTTCCTCTGAAGCACTGTTATAAATCTCGAGACCTGCATACTATTTAATTGCCTAGAGAGCATTTCCCAAAATGTTCCAGAGAATGTTTGTTCCTCAAGATGTTCTATAAAAGTTAAGAAACATTTTACATTATATATTCCACTCTTCATCTTTCACAATATCTAATTATAAACACATTAGTGGTTCTAAGAAGTTCTGCAATGCAGTGAGTTTGTTTTACTTAACCTGGATTTATTTATTTATTATTTATATACTTCTTTTTCCCTATGCTCATCTTGACCTTTTAAGATCATGAAGCTTCAAGAAAAATCCTATTAGAAAATAAGCTGTGACCTACTCAAAGCAATGTCTTTACAAATGCATTTCCGTGTTTGCCTCATGCCTTGCCTCCTTTTATTTTATTTTTCAAGTTTTGCCATAGGGTGTGTGTACTTACCAGAGAGAGAAAGCAAGAGAGAATATGAGAAATCACTCCAGGGGGACTGGGGCGAGATTCTGGGCATGCATACACATACTGGCATGATTTTTGAGCCACCAGGTCCAGAACTTGAACTGCTGTCAGCCATGTGGGAGTCCAGTGCCTTAACCGCTACGCCATATACTGGCCTTGTTTTGTTTCATTTTAAATCTCTACCCTTGGTTGTATCTCCTTGTTCTCTTCCATTTTACTAAATATTTAATGCACTTTAAAGTCTTTAAGAAATAAGGTAGAATGTAAAGAAAGGAACCTTCAATACTTTTATATTTAGATCTAGAAACCCAAAAAAGTCTAGCCCATCCTCAAGGGGAAAAAAGACCCATTTAGGAAGGTAGCACAGGAACTATGGAAGCATGTGGTCCAATCTTTCATTAAGTGATCTAGGCAATTATTGCCTTAATCCACTAGGCTTAGCCACCTAACTATTAATATCTAAGCAACAGTCTAGGTGTTTACCACTAAAAAGGCTCACCTACAAGATTAGGCAGAATCCCAGAAAGGAAACATTTTGGAGTCATGAAACAAAAATGACTTTATAGGGGGCCAGCAGGTGACGCAGTAGTTAAAGATGCTGTACTCCCATCTGGCTGACCTTGGTTCAAGTTTGAGACGTGGCAACTTGCTTTCTCACTCTCTCTGGTGAGTACTCGTGCCCTATAGCAAGTTTAAAAATATTAATAATAATAATGAATAAAATTAAATAAATAATTATTTTTTAAAAAACGAGTTATGGGGCCAGTAGATGCTATAGTGTTTACATCACTGGACTCCCACATGGCTGAGTACAGCTCAAGCTCCAGACCCAGTGGCTTGAAACTCACACTGTATGTGTGTCTGTGTGTGCTCAAGATCCCAGGAGAACAGAGGAGAGGGATTGTGGTATGGTCATCCCCCTGGGAGGTGATTTCTTACATTCCCTCACTGTCTTACTGTCTCTCTCTCTTTCTCTCTTTCCCCCTGGTGAGTACACACACCCTAAAGGCAAAAACTTCTACCAAAGAAAAACAAAACAAAACAAAAAACACTGAACCCTCTGCCACATATATGATTACTGTTCTGCCAATTGTTCATTTAGAGAACTTTTAGTGAGTACTACTACTTAATGCTAGCTAACCTCTTTGTTAAATACCGTATATATAAAAAGGAATATGATCCTTGCCCTTGAGAAGCTAGTAGGTAAGTGAAGAAGAAAACAACAACAACAACAACAACAATAATAATAAAGATCTAAATTAAAATGTGCTATGTTGAAATAGCTGGTAGTGCACAAAGTAATTTTGAAGCCTAATGTATACGGAATAACGAACCTTCCCAGGAGATCAAGAAGAGTCTGACAACAGGGTGATGACCAAGGCCATTATTGTAACCTGTGAGAAGACCGTTATCTACTGTACTCCCACCTGGCTGACATCAGTTATACATGGAGCCAAAACTTGGGGCTGGACAATGGTAGAGGAAATTTAGAAAAGATAAGTGGAATAGAGGTATTTCTTTGACATAACTCATTTTTCCAGGCCTTGTGCTAGTGAAGTCACTAAAAAAAGGATCTGAAATCAAGAAAAAGCTGATTCTTCGTTAAAACATAACATTTTAGAAAATCATCCTTGGATGCTAAGACTAGTGGATAAGTGTTTGATGAGGAATATGATAGTTGTATAAGTGCTTCTCCACAAATTACTATTAAATCATAAAGTGAAATATGTTAATTTCATAGTGGAGACAAGTGGCAAATATCTTCTTATCAAAGTGATTAATATTAATATCGCCAGTACCGGGACAAACTGACATCCTATGTCTTTTAATAAGATAAAACAAAGGATACAACATCACATATGTGAAATTCCTGGTAAATCTGATCATGAAGACATACCAGACAAAACCAAATTGAAGAATATTCTACAAGGTAACTAACCTATACTCTTTAAAAAGGTGAAGGTCAAGAAATGCAAATAAAGGTTGTAGAACTATTCCAGGAAAATAAAAAGCAATTGTTAATAAGGCTAACTACAATGTATGATA